GCGCGGGGAGGGGCGGGGGGCAGACGGTTTCCACAGCTGTGTCAAAGTGTGCATATTGAGCTGTGTGCAGTGTGATTTCCGCGGGGCACCACTATAAGCTGCCCATTCTCTGTCAACATTGCCACGGCTGATGCGTTGCATTGCAGCCTGCTGCGCAGCTGTGCGCGTCGCACTCGTGGCTTGGAGCAGCGCCAGGCGACCGTGCGACAGCCTCACACAGCATTGCATGTTTTCGCCACCGTTGCGTCCTGCGCAGCACTTGCCGCACCTGCACCGTCGGCTCCGCTGCCTTGAGAGCCGCCTGCTTCTTGACCGACAGGTTGAAGCGCTTGCTCTTCAGCTCCAGCTCAACGATATCGGTATCGTTGACAATCCTGAGGCCGCGGAGGACCAAAGACGCTACATTCAGGGCGGCCGTAACGCATGTACCCGGTCCAAGGCCCGGGACCCGCGCTTCATTGACTTCGCAGGCGATTGGCACATTGCCAACCGCGAGAGTTAACCTGCTCAAATGCTCTGATGGCCAGATGGCTGCACATATGCATCTGGTGAGGGAGCACACCTGATGATGTCGGATAACTCCTCGAAGTCCAGCGTGTTGCTGGCCCCAGTGCCATTGGAGGAAGCAGCCACAGCCGCGATCTCCTCAGTGGCCGCGTGTGCCGTGACCTTGCGGGCCTGGCGCGTTGGTAGGGATGGGGTGGGCTGAGCACGGGCGTCTTTCACAACGCCTGCCCCAATGGGCTTGCCAGCGGCACTGACCTGAACGTGGAAGCTCGTCACGTTCGCTGGGCGCTGCACTGCCGCGGACCTGCCGGCCCGCAGGGACTTTGCGAGCTGCATTGCTGCTCTGTGATCGGCCCTGCTGTTGCGACCGGTCGACTTGAATCACACGCAATTGCCAGAAGTGAATACAAGTCCAAGTTTCAGAGCTGCACACGCGCCAATGCACCCACACACCTCCTGCTGTTTTTGCAAGTGAGCACGGTCACCCGCGTCCCCAGGGTCCCGGTGGTTTTGTGATGTTACCTTGATTTTTAAACCAAATCAACAAACAATATGTCAGGCCCCCAGCACGGTCGCCGCCCAGATCATGGGTGGGCCAGAAAGGCGATCCGACCACAGCCAAAATCGACAACACAGCGTAAACTTGAGAAAATTCATAGATCAAACCGGTTCAGGTTCTTGGACGATGCACACGCTGAAAATGAACAGCAGCAATTGACTGCGCTCCACAATGGTTGACCAAGTGCATGCGCTTGCTGCGCCGGTGCAGCCGATCTGCTCGCCATGCGGCTGCAATGAGAGTTGGGAACATCAAGCAATGTTCCCGTGGAGCGCTAGACATGGGCAACCTCACAATGCCTTGTGACCCCGTCCTGCAGCAAACTGGATGAGGTCAGTCTGTGGGGTTGTGGCGCGTTGTATGCCCTGCCGCTGCCCGACAAGGACGGCCGCTGCTGCCAAGAAACAGGTGCTTGGATGGTAGGCTACTGTGCGCCAGCCCCTCCGACATTCATACCGATAAGCGGCAAGCCCAGGGCGGTGGCGGCTCCCGGCGCTGGCATGTAGCGAGCCCCAAGCAAACTCCGCACGCTGGGTCTGCCGACGAGCGGCGCCTGCGCCTGCGCCACTCCTTTGACGGCGGGTGAATGCTGTTACCTTGACTGTGCTTTCAAGCACTGGATTGTGGTAATTAACAAGAGCGGCAAAAAAGGGTGCAATCTGTAACGTACGGCGACGCGGCAGCCCCAGAAACACTTGGGGAGCGCACTACAACCCGTGCAACACACCATGCCGGCAAAGTGCCCCCGGCAGCCACATCGACGGGCGCCACAAGACGGCGCGCCTGCTGCACCGCTAGAAGGCTCCCACCCCGCACGCCCCTGGCCTGCACGCAGGACACCGCGCCCCACACGCGAGGCACGAGGGCCCGCGCGGGCCCCGCACGGCACGGAGCGCCGTCCCCGCCGCGCCCTGGGCGGGCCGGCGCCGCCTCTTAGGGCTGCTGCTGCGGCGGCGGCCCCCACTTGGCGCTGAACCTGACTGGGGGCGGGGAACCCCCCTCGCGGCCGCCGCCTCCGCTCAAAGCGCGTCCTCCGCCTGCGGGCGGCGTTGGGGGCCGGGAGGGGGCGCGGGCTCGGCAACCGCTCGTCGCCGCGCCCCCTCCCGCCCCGCGGCCGCCCCCGCAGTGCGGCGCCGCGCGCGCGCGCGCACGCGCGCGTGACTGGGGAGGGGCGGCAGGAGGTGCCCGGGAGCGCGTGGCTGCGGGTGCGCCCGTGAATATTCGACGACCCAAACCGATCGAAAGCCGCGCATAGATGCCGCAGCCGACGAGCAAAACACAGCACACAGCACAGCTTTGCAGAGGGGCCATCGAGCCGCCCTCTGTCACGACATCATCACGCCCGGCAACGCGCCCCCCGCACCGCCGCCGCCGCCGCCGCCGCCGCCGCCGGCCCCCACGCTGCGCCGCCCGACGCCGGCCGCCGAGTTGCCGCTGCCGCGCCGCGCGCCGCCGCCC